CGCCCAGCCTCCATGGGATATTTTGATACAGGCATACAATGTGCAATAATCACATCAGGGTAGATGGGGTGTACAATTTAAAAATAATTTTTAGCTAGGTGTGGTGGTGTATGCCTGTAGTCCCAGTTACTCAGGTGGCTTGAGATGGGAGGATCGCTTGAGGCTCGAGGCTGCATTGAGCCAAGATCATCCCACTGTGCTCTAGCCTGGGCAACAAAGTGGGACCCTGTCTCTAAATAAATAAATAAATAAAATAATTTTAACCAATTCCATTAAAATGTTCGGAAGAAAAGTAATGCCCCTTCTTTCTCACATAACATTTTTCCACCCACCATATTCTACTTTCCGGAGAACACTAATGGTTTGTTAGGTTTTTTAAAAGCTCAATATTGGCTGAGTATGGTGGCTCACACCTATAATCCCAGCACTTTGGGAGGCTGAGGCAGGTGGAGCACTTGAGCCCGGGGACTTCAAGACCAGCCTGGGCAACATGACAAGACTCCATCTCTACAAAAAATACAAAAATTAGCCAGATTTGGTGGTGTGTACCTGTAGTCCCAGCTACTTGGGAAGCTGAGGTGGGAGGATTGCTTGAGCCCAAGGGGTCTTGGCTGCAGTGAGCCATGATCACACCACTGCACTCCAGCCTGGGTGACAGAGTGAGACCCTATCTCTAAAACAAAACAGAACAAAACAAAAACTCTCAATATTGTTATATTGTATACTGTTTTGAAATTCGTGTTTTTGCCTCATCTTGGAAACTTTTCCACAATATCAGTAATGTAGGTCTAGTTCATTCTTTCAGATTGCATGGGAATCCACATTTTGGTTGTACTACACTTTAACTAAGGCCCAACTGATGCCTGTAGTTCCAAAGATAAGCAATCTTAAAGGGGAGACCCACAGAGAAGGTATCATGGCAGGTAAAGGCCCTTCAGGAGAGTTAAGTATTTGACAATGTACATTTAAATAAATTACAGTATTCTAAAATGCAAAAAAGTGCATCTTCAGTGTTATAACATGAGAATGATCATCAGACTCACAGAACTAGAAAGGACCTCAGAAATCATTTCAACCAACCTTCTCTTGTTACAGTGAAGGCAGAGAGGTTATAGCTAGACACAGCTCAGGTGACAAGGACCTGAGATTGTTCATTATTAATATAAACCACATGGTATGGCTGGGTGCAGTGGCTCACGCCTGTAATCCCAGCACTTTGGGAGGCCGAGGCAGGTGGATCACCTGAGGTCAGGAGTTCAAGACCATCCTGACCAATATGGTGAAACCCCGTCTCTACTAAAGTTACAAAAATTAGCTGGGCATGGTGGCAGATGCCTGTAGTCCCAGCTACTCGGGAGGCTGAGACAGGAGAATCGCTTGAACCCAGGAGGTGGAGGTTGCAGTGAGCTGTGACTGCACCATTGCACTCCAGCCTGGGCTAGAGAGTGAAACTCTGTCTCAAATAAATAAACCACATGGTATTGTTTGTTAGGTTGCTTGAGTGACCCAAGCCACTTTCAATTGAGAATATAATCTTTCTGACACCAACACCAAGAGGTATTGTTAATCTCATGAAAAAGGATTGAGACACCATGCTTTAATAAACATTTTAAATACACCAGCATTTTTTTTCAACACAAGCATCTTCAATCCTTTTTTTTTTTTTTTTACCATGTCTCTATCTTAAAAAATCTTATTATAAAATAAAACATAGGCACAGAAAACTACATAAAACAAATTGTAGTTTTTAAAATTTTTTTAAAGGCATTTTATTTTTTATTTTATTTTATTTGAGATGGAGTCTCATTCTGTTGCCTAGGCTGGAGTGCAGTGACGTGATCTTGCCTCACTGCAACCTCCACCTTCCAGGTTCAAGTGATCCCTTTGCCTCAGCCTCCCAAGTAGCTGAGACTACAGGCACCCACCATCACGCCTGACTAATTTTTTGTATTTTTAATAGAGACGGGATTTCACAATGTTGGCCAGGCTGGTCTTGAACTCCTGACCTCGTGATCTGCCTGCCTTGGCCTCCCAAAGTGTTGGGATTACAGGTGTAAGCCACCACGCCTGCCCTATTTTATTTATTTATTTATTTATTTATTTATTTATGAGATGGAGTCTTGCTCCATTGCCCAGGCTGGAGTGCAGTGGTGCAATCTTGGCTCACTGCATCTTCCATCTTCCAGGTTCAAGCGATTCTCCTGCCTTAGCCTCCCAAGTAACTGGGATTACAGGTATGCACCACTGCACCCAGCTAATTTTGTATTTTTAGTAGAGACATGGTTTCACCGTGTTGGCCAGGCTGGTCTCAAACTCCTGACCTGAAGTGATCCACCTGCCTCAGCCTCCCAAAGTGCTGGTATTACAGTCGTGAACTACCATACCCAGCCTATTTTATTTTTTGAGACAGGGTCTTGCTCTGTCACCCACGTTGGAGTGCAGTGGCACAATCAGTGCTCATTGCAGCCTCAAACTTCTGGGCTAAAGGGATCCTCCCACTTCAGCCTCCCAGTCAGCTGGGACTACAGATGCGTAACACCACAGCTGGCTAATATTTTAATTTTAATTTTTATACAGACAGGGTCTTGTTATGTTGCCCAGGCTGGTCTTGAATTCCCAGGCTCAAGCGATCCTCCTGCGTCAGGCTCACAAGGTGCTGGGATTATAGGTAGCGCCCTATAATTTTGACTTGAAGAACTCCTTTTAGTATTTCTTATAGGGCAAGTTTTCTAGTGATGAACTCTCACCTATTAGAATGGCTAAAATCCAAAACACTGAGAATACCAAACCCTGGAGAGGATGTGGAGCAACAGGAACTCTCATTGCTGGTGGGAATGCAAAATGGTATAGTGATTTGGAAAATAGTCTGCCAGTTTATTACAAAACTCAACAAACTCTTACGTATGACCCAGAAATTGTGCTCTTTGGTATTTACTCAAATGAATGAAAACCTATGTCCACACAAAAACCTGCACATTGACGTTTACAGCAGCTTCATTCATAATTGCTAATACTTGGAAGCAACCAAGATGTCCGTCAGCAGGTGAATGGAAAAACTGTGCTACATCCAGACAAAGGACTATTGTTTAGTGCCGAAAAGAAGCGAGCTATCAAGCCATGAAAGACATGGAGGAAACTTAAATGCGTATCGCTTATGAAAGAAGCCACTCTGAAAAGGCTGTGTACTGTATGACTCCAACTATATGAAACTATGGAAAAGGCAAAACTGCTGAAACAGGAAAAAGATCAGTGGTTGAGGGAAGGGAGGGATAAATAGGCAGAGTACAGAGAATTTTTAGGGTGGCGAAACTACTATAATGTGTCATTGCACATTTGTCAAAACCCATAGAATAAGCCTGGGCAAAATAGCAAGACCCCATCTCTATAAAAAATTTTTAAAACCTAGCCAGGCACTTGTCCTCCAAGATGCCCACTTGACCCTCTTCCAAGTGTATTTTACTTTCTTTTCATTCCTGTTCTGAAGCTTTTTAATAAAGTTTC